ACATGAAACTGTTAATTAGTATAATGAAATGTCTGTTCGTGAATATTGCTCCGGGGCGCGCTATCTGTTGTCGATATGAGGCTCTTGCTTCGAAGTACTCACGACAATTAGTTCTGTTGTTGTCGACGGGTTGCGCACCGGTGTCCGGCGGCGGCGGTCGGCTATTTCCTGGTTTCTCTACTACACAGCGCACGAGTAGTAGTTTTTGTAAACGTTATACAATGAAAAATAACATCAGCAATTCTGTCTCATTACACAGTGTAGATATACATGCAATGCTTTAACCTGCAATTTCACTATGGGCTCTGGTCTAGGGGGCCTCCCCCCTATATATGCCACTGTCCGGAGTTGCCCGGAAAAAAATTCTGATTGTTCAACTCCTTATTTTGGATGTTACACGTTATGTCTTTTTAAGTGTAAATGATATTACATTTCTATAATCTATAATATATCCCTGAGCCAAATTTTATTGTAATCGGTCCAGTCGTTTATGAATGCATACAGGACACACAGATACACACACACATATACACAAACATCAATTTTTATATATTTTATAGATATAATATTTAGTCAATAGCAACTACTTAAATAATCAAAACAATATTCATGTTCGTGAGCCAAAACTAAATTTATGTGTGAGCCACGCTTTAGCAACCTATAGAGGTTGAACAACTAAGCTATAAGCAGAGTATCCTAAGCTTAAGCTTCCAATAGGTCTCGAGTCTATAGATGACAAACAATAAAAAACATCCATTTTTATATTTGTTATAAAATATAGAAGACAGAAGATTATCACCGAAATAATATTGACTCCTATATTTAAACTATTAGTTGTAGGTATAACTATTACCTATAATCTATATATACAATATACTCCCAAGACCCAACTCGCATAATAAATGATTTTATTGTTCAATGTTCATGCTCTTAAGTTACCTATCGTTGAGGCTGCGATAACGATTTCTGTAATTAATATTAGAAATATTAGTTTTATACTTCAGTAAGTAATAACCACTATTATAATTTATAACGATTACCGATATAGATAGGTAGGTATACCGTACACGCACTTCACAACATAATATTATAATTAGGTATACCTAATATATTAATTAATTTACCTAATTTATTAATTAAATATACCTATATATTTTAATATTTTTTTTTACAATAAAGTGGAAATAACACCGCAACATCATTTGTATTTTGTTCGAAGTGTTTTGGCGTTCAAACAGCAAAATGATAGGTACCTATGGTAATAATTATAGACCAAGTATAGTTTCATGCATTTGCATATATTTTCTGGTTAACTTTATCTTATGCTTAGTGACCAGGGCCGTAGACACGGGGGGTGGGGGTTAGGGGGTTCAAACCCCCTTACAACATGGAAAGTATATACATTTATTTCAAATATTTAAAACAACTAATATATTTTATATATTTTTTTAAACATTTTTATCAATAATAGTAATAGATGTTTGTGTTGTTATCGGTTATAAGTAAGGTATTTTGTGTATCATCTAAACATGTTGTTATTATAATAACCCCCCCCCCACTATATAAAATTCCTGTCTACGGCACTGTTAGTAACAGTAACTACACATTACAATTCACAACGTTTGAGATACAATACTCAAAGTTTTTAGTGCATATTTTAATAGTTTATCGAAATTCAAGCACTTCGGTAAATATTTTTCACGAATCAAGGACAACGATTACCTATAATAAATTTGAATGAAGAATGAAGATCTGTATTGGCTGTTTTATTGGTTTTTTATACATAAATGTGGGTACATAGAAAATTGAATTAAGTATCCAAAATTATTAAAATTAATTCAAATAAATAAAATATATTAAAAAAAAGGAATTTGTTAGTGTAATATGGGCGAGTAATTTTTTTTAGATCATACTTTACTGTATGTTTGTAATTTTTTGATTATTTTTTTTAGTGCATAAAAGTCCTTGGTATATAGTTATAAAAAATTACAATAACAACAATAATTTATACAACTCCACAACCACTTATAGGCGGAGCGACTGTAATATGCGTGTTATGTTAATAATACAACCGTCGCATCATCCTCGGTGGTTCAAGCGGATACGAACTCTCCCGCCATAAGACAAATCGCATTGTGCACTTGTGCCAGTATAAAAACACTAATGTGGTGAATAAAACTACGTCGCAGTTTAGAACACAAACACGACACGTGTTGAGTTCGAAAATGTGAGAGGAACACTTGGCGCTCACACACGGTGCTCCGCCCATGTCGGTTACGACTTGCCGCGCTACAATTTATAGCAATTTATATTTTATATTTTTTTTTGCCACACGACCCGTCTGTCCCGTCATGACAAAACAACTGCGACTCTTCAATGGTTGGGTCCTCCTCGTTGGTGTAATCGTACAGGATCATACAAACGGATGGTTAGAGTAACTACCTATATTGCCACCAATTGAAATGCCAGTTCAATAATACGTCAGAACGTTACGAATCACGATCATGGATTATATTGGAATTCCGAATTCATAGTAGTGGATACGCCCGACCTATCACACTGCCCATACCTTGAATTTTGTGGATAACGAGCCCCATGGTGGGGGAAATAAGAAAAATGTTCTCGAGGCAATCATGATAATTATAGGGCCAACACTTGTATGCATTTGCATATTTTTATTGGTGTAATGGTGTGGTCAAAAAATTAGCTATAGTTTATACCAAAATTTGTTATATAACCTAACAACTCTGTATACAAAATTTTATTTTGCATATTTTTGCATATTATGGTATTTTTGCATTTTTACTGCATATTTTAGCAAATTAATATTTTTGAAGTATATTTAAGATCTTAAAAACTCGGGAATTACAAAATATTAATTTGTTTCACTCATAGGTACCTTAATACCTTATTATGGGTATTTCAACTAATTTATGAAAATAGGTTATCTAATCTTAATCGCTAATCATTAGGGTCAACAATTATATGTCCGTAGATCGGTAACAATAGATTTGTTTAAAACAGACTCCCGGTATACCATTGCCTATATCCACTCCTATAGTCCTATATTAACAAGATGGGGTACATGGATTTCTGCTTCAATGTATTATTGCGAACATATACAAGCTATTCGGAATGTAATACAGAAATTGAACCCCGGGGACGACGTTTCAATATAGACAAAGTTCAAAAATTAATTTCTAAAGATCAAGTTGAAGCAAATTTAACTTTTATTCATTCAAACTACGAATTTTTACCAAATACCATAACATATTTAGAAAGCCAGAATGTTTTACTAGCAAACTCAATACAATTAATAGAAACTGCGGGAAGTAAAATATAAAATAATGGTTTTCATATTCTAAAGTATTATCTGGTGATGTATCTACGTTAGAAGGTATCACAGAAGATTTGAAAAGCAAGGATTTGTTGCATTTTAAATACTCACCTATTACATCCGTTGATGTAGAATGTTCTTTTTCTGGTTACAAAAAATTGTTAACGGACAATAGACGCTCATATGCTCAATGCTGTTTGAAAACTTATCCAAATCATTAATTGTTCAATGCAATAACATCGGGTAAAATTAAAATTTTTATCATTTGATTAATGTTTTTGTTTAATTTATTATTCATTAATTATTACTTTAATTTTAATTTTTTAATATTTTTTAATATCACACATTTTTGTAAATCATTATTCATTGGCAATAATTGTATTATAGTATAAATTGTATAATACATAAAAAAAAAAATCATTTAATCATTTTTTTTATGAGCTTATTTTGGTGATTTTTAGGGTATAACTGCATACATATTTTATAGATTTTTAGGGCATGTAAATGTTGGCCCTAATGATAATCATCTGGCGGTTCGATTCGAATTCCAATAACTCGTCGGCGGTAGTGAAAAAAAATGTTTTATTTTTTATTTTTGTTATTCAACACAAACTGTCTGCGGCATCAGCAGCTGTTGTGGTCATTGGTAGTAACCAAGGTGTATATATAATACACCTTGGACGTAACATTAGGTACATTACTCAATTAACAATAATAACAATTTTTGACATTTTTTAAGTAGATGTATATCTAACAAATATTGATATTATATTGCTATATATTATGCAGGATCGCTTTACAATTTATTGATAAGTTGAAATTTTTGATAGGAACTTTGAGGTGTTGTTAGGTTCAGAGTTGAGTATTTCGGCTGAGTCACGGACTAAGATATAATGGACTGGAAACGGGCAGCTTATCAGTGGTCTCGAAAGTATGTACAAGAAGCAAATGCGGGGGGCAACCATAATCGAGAGTTTACATCTGTAAAAAACACGGACTGAGATACAAAATGTGACGCTAAATAAAACCACTGATAGTGCTGAAAACATTCGATTATGAGTGTTGATGACAACAGAGGACCCTTTTGCGGGCCTTCCCCCGTCAGTCGTCACCCGCCCACCTTGTCGTTTCCAGTCCATTGTATCTTAGTCCGTGGGCTGAGTCGATGATTAATAAGATTAATAAGCTTCTCGGATAATAGGAATTTTCGTCTCTCCTTGTCATTTATTCTACAGAAATACATATATTTAATATATATATATATCTTTGTCGTCAATCATGAGTCGATTAAGCGATAAGAGCCGTTATCATATTCGGGTAGCGGGTAGCGGTCCGTTGCGTACGCCGCCGCAATGTTAGGGTGTCTAGACTCCGGGCTACGCGCCCGCACCCGCACCCGCCATGCCACCCTTCTAGACTACCACGGTTTACGACCAATAACCGTCCGCGGCCCACATTGATAGTGCGAGCTGATCTTGCGCTCATCAATCGAGTCATTCTCGCTACTCGGTACGTCCTGCCCCCTTAGCTACGACGCAAAAACCAGGCTCAGACAACAGACGCACAGTGACTCGTCGTGACCCGTGGACCGTCGTTACTAGCCTTTTCCGTTCGGTTTGATAATTCACAAGAGAAGAAACCGCTTCACTGTTTGGTTCCTAGGATGACTATTCTAACGTTTCCGTCGTTCGGTGGCAAGTCGGACAAAGCGCCGTTGATCAGTGACGAAGTCCACCATGATCAGACCCAGCCTCCGCCGCCGTATCACCCTAAGTTCTTGGAGACTGGCGAAGGTGGTTTGCCGAACACCAAAAACAACAATAACGGCACTGGCAGCAGCAACGGAAAGTCGGTCGGCAAATGCATCCACCAGTCGGTCGAGTACAGACGGTTGGTGCACAAGATGGCCAAGTTCACAGCGATCCTGTTTGTGTTCTTACTGGTCCTCTATTTTGCCATCGACACGCTCTGCAAGGCTTACGTTCATGACATACAACAAAAGCAACAGGATACTGAGGACGACGCCGCCGCAGTGCCTTGCAAATCTTACTCGTCGTATGCAGATGCTGAGAACGATATGATTTTATTGCCAGACTCTCCACCGCCGAGTGCCAAAAACATGGTCATCTCTATGGTCATCAACCCAGGGGAGGGAGTCATTAGAAAGTCGCCACAGATCACCATAAACAAATCGGCCCGCTTCTTGCATGACTTTAGCGTCAACATTACCGGCATCGTTGACTTTCAGGTCCAACGCTGTTACGTTATGCCGCTGCTTCGCAATTCTGTTGAGCCACCCGAGTCTCTGTACGATATGTTGCTTAAAATGTCAACAGGATACTATTCTGTGGATATGAACAAAATTATCAGTAACTTTCACATGGTCAGACCGGCCATCACCAATCTTTCTGACTACGGCATGTACATTTCAAAAGACTGTGCTGACTATCCCACTTTCAAACTGGAAAAAGACATTGCGACCGATTCTCCAATAGAAGTTTACTGATTTTCACATTCATCGAGGCACATTATCAACCAAATATAACACAATATTTAATACAATACTACAATTCTTCTTTTTACATTTAAAATATACAGTTGACCACTCAGCTGTGGACCATTAATTATGTTACCAATTTTGACTTAAGTTCCTTAGCTGTGTTGTTCCTATTATTTTGTGTTCTCAATCTTCAGTTGTCGAAAGTGCATACATTTTTTCACAGCTAGTGATTAAGACAAGGTTGATTATAATTTTTTTTTACCACTGGATGTACCTAATTATATGTTTTATTTCTTGTACACAATCCTGGCTACCCAGATTGGGCGATTTTGAAACTTTTATCGGCATCCATCAATGACAAAACTATTATATTATATTTTACTTTACTATCCTGTCAACATGTATAGTATTTAATAGTGTTTTAACATATTATAGATAATATATTTATGTATAGTTTATACATAAAGATTGTAGATTCATTTTTTCAATCTTTGTTTGTATGATTATAGACCATCATTTTCTTGTTGAGTCAACAAATGTTAATTATGCTGCAATTATCAATCAATGATAATAATATTAAAGTAAAAAATATAGTTATAGTGATTTTATCTGTACTTACCGCAACTGGTGTGTGAAAAATCATAGATTTTTTTTGGCAGTATATTAATATTATTGTGTGTTAATCATACAATTTTACGAATACCTTTATGATGTTTAGCACTATATTATTTAAGCTTTAGTAATGATAACATTAATCTCTATATTGATAGTCCATGTCACTAAAAAAATTGTAGTATTTGAATACTTAAATAATGAATATTGGATTTTTAATTATAAATATAATTTAAAACATGTTTTCAAAAATAAAAATTGAAAAATTAACAATATTGTTTATTTTGTGAAATGTTATTCAACAATTATAGTGGGTATTTAAGAAGTACTAAGTGAAATATTTTACAACATTTATTTTCCTCTAATTATCAAACATTTTATCTATAAAATGGTAAAATTATTGAAACTAGACATAAATTAAATAAAAATGTGTATTTAAAAGTCAATAAATATTTTTAAAAAACAAGAAAGCAGCACATCAATTTAAGCTTTGTAAAAAATAAACATTTGAACAAAATTTGAACGATACCATTTCTTCAGTAATTGAACAGCAAAATAGATTATACTGAGGTAGTATATTATAATTTGATGATTTCATATTTTATATAAAAGATATTTCAAATAATAACATTGTGATATTATGATCGTTGTGAAGAATTGACAGTAGTTGGAACTTATAGATTATTTTTGAGTCATCTTTGAACAATCTTCTAATTATTTTCATATTTCCATGAAATCTAATAAAGTAATAAATATGTAAATGTTCATGTTTAAAATAAAAATTAAATTTTGAAGAAAATGATTGCTATCAATATTTCAGTCATCAATTTTGTAAAGACAGAAAAACATTTGAAAATACAATAGTCATAATAGATTGCATGTGCATGCAATGAAGAGGACATGGTACCCACCAGTGGCGGTTTTGATAAAACATCAAGGGAGGGGTAGGTGCTATTTTCTATTTTTGGTCCTCCCCCACAATAATTAAAGCACTTCAAGCATTTAGTGTAATTTCAATTAAAACAAGGAAATGCAAAAAAAACCAAGGGGGTTGAGCGCCACCTTCGCCTCCCCCCCTCTAAAAACCGCCACTGGTACCCAATGCATTGTCACTGTTTTAATAACTCATAACATACCAATATTTAATTTCATTAATTCCTATTTTCTTTTGTTAGCTTAAATACTAGAGTAAATTGATTTATAATCAAACTTAAGGTAAGTAAATTATCTGTGTTGTCTTGTTAGATTTTTCAAATATTTTAATTTTCAAGCAAACTACGAGTGTGTAAAATATTCAAATTCAAAAATTCTATTAACTTGCCTAAAAATTAAATTATTTTATAAAACCCAACAAGACAACATAGATATGTTCTTATCAGTAGGTTTGGTAGTAGGTCTATTCCCTCTAAAATTAAATCTAACAGCGCAAAATTGGAATTGCTGAATGCAAAATTTGCTATGTTCTCTATGTGTAAGACAGAGACAACACATGTAGGCATGACATTGTCTTAATTATCTCCCAGGATCAAATGTATGGCAACAATTTTTAAATATATCAAAAAGTATTTTATTTTGTATTTTTGGTGCTATTTATTGTGCATATTTTAAAGTGTAACAACTTTTGAGGCTTAGATAAACTAATAACAAAAAACTAAAGAACCAATATAATATTATATTCAGTACATAGGTATCATTCGTCTTTAAAATTAAAATAATAAAATCAAATGAAAAATAATTCTATAAAAATAATGACTGGAAGAATTTATTAAAAATTAAATCAAAGTTTACACAGACAAATTTACGAGGTAGAAAAAAAAACTAACAAAAAATGTTCTTACAATAATGTTAACAAAATAATGATAAATGTTAACAGTCTTTATACATTAAGATCACTTATAATTATAAATTAACATATTTAAGAAACAACAATAGCAGTGTTACAGTTAATATTTACAAAATAATGTCCAGTTCATTATATTAAGATAAAAATTTAAATCTAATCTCACTTTTGTTTCATGTAGTCTTTAATGTCATGCAACAAGTAACATTGCAGAGCAAGTAATATAACTCCAGGAATTGAGTACATCAACATCTTTGGCCAATCTGAAGTATGCTGTATGTTTGAAGTGTTTGACGAATGCGATAAGTTCAAAGGACTATTTTGGTGGTGTGGCAGAGTATAATATGTGTACGGTGAAACAGGCTGGTGACACATTGGTGAATATTGTGGTCTAAAACTGTGTTGAGAGTAAATGCTCTGCGTATCAAAATCATAATCGTCTTTCACAGAATATGGTGAATAATACCCAGGAGAAGACTCAGCATACCCTACAAACTTGTCACGTTTACCAGGCATTAAAAACTTTGGTGGTCGAATTATATTGTTTTTGAAACCACGGTTTTCATTGAGTTTCATCCCTTGGAACAGATTATTGACAGTCTTATTCAATATCTTTTGTCGACTTTTAGGTAACTCCCCAATGTGATCAATGTCCATCATTTCTGATTCATCACTGTCTTTATTTGATCCATTTGCACTAAATAAACAAATTACAAGTTAATTAATTGTTAAGCTACCTATTTTTTTAAATTAATAATAAGGTTTTTAATATATTCGAAGTGACTATTTTGTATCCAATTAAACTATTGAGTTTACAATAGACGTATTATAATAAAATAGTTATATTAGTAAATAACATTCAATACGGCAGTAAGTCAAAAAATTGAGTTATAAGTTGATGTTTTTTCTCATATAATTGTCTGCATTGTGTATACATTTGAATATATATTAGTATATTCATCAAACTTTAAAGAAATCTACAAATTAGTTACAATAAATGATAAATTATAATAAAGTTAAGAATCTTCAAATTATATTAATATATCACATAATATAATTTCTAAATAAAATGTACAATGCTATAATAATTGACATGAAGATAAAATGAACACGTTCTTATAGATAATAAATCAAAATATCTTTTCATATAAATGTATTGTTTCTATAGTATTCAAAACATAGGGCAGACCTCTGAGTCAGGTATGGCTAAATTCAATCTGATCTTCCACCCCATTGTCGAGGTCACCACACAAGAAAAAAATTATTAACATTTCACTATAAACTTTTAAGAGACCCTTTTGTTGGTGACTGGAAAATGTAAACAATCAGTTTTCATACAAAATTCATCAATATTAATTTAAAATTTTAACCAAATATAATCTAATAAAACAATTTAATCAAAAACGTTCAAAATATAATATATAAAGGGTTACGGGGAAAAACGATAATAGTCGAAAGAAAGAAAAAAATCAAATAATTATAGTACCTTTTGGTTAGTTTCATAACGAATCGATCCGTGAATCGAGTTATGGAAAAGAGATCTTGGTCAATGATTTAATACAGGTTTAAATATTACCATAATGGGATAAAAGATTGGAAACTGCAACTTTAAAACTACAATACTGAACATTTTAGGAATATTGGCTATTATCGTTTTCCCCCATAACCCTTCATATAATATTAACAATTGTCAATTAACATTAATATGTATTTATTATTATAAATTATTCATGGGAAATTGACTTTAGGGCTATTAGTTTATGAGATATAAATATTTAAAGTTTTGATGAGCGGAATAGTGGATATACATTTTGCGGAGTAACCTCGTACAACACCACTCCGCTCATCTAAACTGTAAATACTTATAACGTATAAACCACTTGCACGAAACTCAATTTTTATGTATCGAAATACTTAGCAAAATATTCTGCTTTGGAATATTAAATTAACTCTGCAATCATTAAAAAAATTAGAAGAATAAAAAATATTTAAAAATATAATTTTTTAATAACAAAGTTGTTTTGTAAACGACTTGAAACTATGTAAACAAATATTTTTAAAAACAATTACACTTTTTGAAATAATAAGTGTTCAATTTTAAATGAATAGCCTTGTCTAGTCTCTCGGGTAAACACAAGCGTTTAAAAGCTAAAAGGGCTATACCTACTTTTAGTCATATCTTTATAAGGTATCAACCCACCCACGTATAAAAAATCTAACCCGTGTGCACGCCTATGAAATATAAAAATGAGAATAGTGAAACATTCCTTGTAAACAATTATATTTATCACTAAAATGCAATGCTAACTAATAACCCATTTGATTTCAACTAATTATTTTGAAGGAATATATTATATTATGTCGATTCTAAGGTGCTACAATTTTTATTATTATAGTTTATATATTATATAATATATATATAAAACTAACGAGTCTAGCCATTGAAAAGTTAGTATATGATAACTTAAATATTTATGATTTAAGACATTATTGATACTGTTTGAACTAAGAATATATCAACAACTAAAGGCCCATAAGTAAGGAAAGATACAGACATTTGACTTCTAACAGGCAGTAAATAACATACCATTTTGTCGAGAGGTCATATATCGTGCGTCTATGTCGTAATCATACTCATCTCTTGTTGTATATTGAATGGACTTGGGAATGGCTTCAAGAAAGATTTTTTCATTAAGTATTCGAGCGACTTTGAATTTTGGGAGGCGCACGATGAACTGATTACTTGACCCAGGCAGAAAATGAGTTTCCCGTAATTGTGTTTTTGGTGACATACAATTCTTACTAAAATAATTATTAAATTATAATAAACTGGCAACTGGCTAAATACTAAATGGGGAACTTAAATAAATATATAAGTACTAACAAGGTTTGTTTCACTATGTCTTTAAACTTTTTATTACGTAGGTGTAAAACATTTTATTTTCCTCAAAATTTTTAATTAAATATTAACATATAAACACATACAATTACTACAGCCAAGCCTCTATTTAACAAACTTGATGGTTCTTTGAAAATAATTTGTCAAATAGAAATAGTCTTTCTAAAAAATATCAATTTTTGTTACACTTAAAACACTTGATTTTATTGTACAAAATTAATATATTTATGTAATATTATGTACCTTGAAAAAAATTTATATTCTCTGTTAAATTCAAAGAATTTTCTGATGTACTTCTCAACTATTTTCTTACCATTGGGCGAGTATAGAAGACTCGACAATGATAATACAATTTAATGAGGTATGATTTAACGGACAAACAATTGTATGTGGGATTTATAAGTTTGCATAACTGTGTACAAGTAATGAGAATAGTTACAAATTGAAATTTTAATAATGATACAAAATTAGTTTGTTAAATAGAACTGTTTTTAAATGAAAATTCCACGGATGCCAAAAATAATGTTATACAGAGCTTTGTTGAATAGAGATTTGACTGTATATAGCATACAAAATTCAGAAAATTTATGAATATTACCTAGTATCATAATAATTTGTATTATTGATTCTGCATTTTTCATCCTCCAGTTTAATACTTGTTTGTTCAATTTTTTGTTTTTTTGTCAAGTATCTAAGTACAGATACAGACGATAAGAATACTATAATTGCAGAAATGAGAAGCTAGAAAATATTAAATAATAGTAAAGTAAAATTGATATTTTTAGAATGTATTTGTTATAAATTACTTTAGGTTTCAAATGTTCAAAATGTTCAAAATTATTTATAACGCATAATAATGACCATAAGAACATAGTTATGGCGCTCAATATGTCCAATGTACTCAAACAGTGATAAACTTGGCATGATGTACCACCTAGGCTTATCATTCCAATTGAGCGCGTTAGTGTTACAGCACTATTTTGGGATATCAATGGATCTAAATGTTGTGCTGCCCAATTGCCCATATAATTCTCAACACCAGAAGAGAATAATAATACAATAAATGATAAAGACAGTGAACATATATCAGGCCAGACACCAACATAATGCATACCCTATAATACAAAATAATATTAATATTGAATAAAAATAAAATTTAAATATAAATCACTTTTTGATTATTATTTATTTTAGTTGATCTCAAGTTGTAACGTTGTTCTTGCAGTGATAGAACTTTTTGAGTGAATTGATTGCATTTGGAACATAACTTTAATGTTGCTTCCAAGTTTTCCCTATAAATAATTGCAAATGAGAATCAAACAAAATTTTATATTTTAGAAAATCTTTTTAATATTACTTGAACTTTTCAATTTCTCTATCAAAGTTTCTTTCCCTGGTAGGGACGAAACAAGCCAACTGTTTCACTTTCATTTCTTGAATAATATTGCATTTATGACACAAACCATTTTTATTTTCCTTAACATCTTCTTGGATTACAGAAAAAACTGCTTGGTTGTACCTTTGATCATGTTGCTCAGGAATTAATTTGTTATAGCTTCCATCCTGAAAAAAAAATAAATGTATTCTTATAAGTTTATAAAAATTGATTAAACTAAATTAAAATATATGTATATTATATACATATATATTTATACAATACAATACTTGCCTCTTTAAAACCATTAAACTGTCCACATTCAATGCATAAAAATTCAAATCGGTCCTCAAAAGCAACTTTAAAATTGGCATTGCAAAACCAACAGTTTACATAGATTGGATAAAATTTTCTCACATAAATGTAGACATAATAACAGAAAAGAGTTATTGTTATAGGTGCCAGGACTGAAGGTACTGGTTTTTCATTGATATAATTAAAATAATTTGTGACATAGTCTGAAACTATAAACAAAATAATATAAAAAATATACAAATATGTTAGACATAGGTAATATTATATTACTATAATGTTTACACTAAATGTATTTACCAAAAGGAAATAAAGAATCGTTATTGAAATATTTCTTGAGCAGGTCCATAATATCTAGAAAAAAAAATTTATAATCATATTACCTATACGTCTGAAACTCTTGTTCATAATTTTTTTATACACATTAAACTTGTACTGGGTAATACAAAAAACAATTTAAGAATACAATTTAAAACTATAAAGTACCTAGAGTATCGCTTTAGAATTGAAAAAAGTCATATTTCATGTATGATTTGTATTTTTGTCCAGTGAAAATTGCAACTTTTTAATTTGAATAAATAATTTATTTTTATCTAATGCAATGACAACATGGCCTTTTTTCTTTGTACATTACCAAAACATAAGTTGATATATATTTGTATTTTGATTAAAATACCTAACTATTTATATATTTTAAAATGGAATGTTTTTCTCTTATTATCACAACATTAGTAAATCACAATAATTTCTTATAAATTAGAATATATTATTAAATTAAATTATGTATATTTAAGTTCATAATAGGCGCATTATTATTTCCTGATATTAAGACTCTAAATATAATGGACAAAAAACCCGACAGAATACTGAGATCTGGACAAAGACAATTGAATAATTATTTAATGTTTAATTTGAGCCTTTGTACAGTTTTAACTTAGTTAATTAGTAATTAGTTCTTGACTATACAGTGCTGCCTTTTTTTTTTTAGATTAACATTGTTTCAAGGTATTGAGGCTGGTAAAGATTTTTATGTCACACCTATTTTAAAATAACATAAAATGAAAAGTTTGATCAATACTTATTGGACACCCTGTATATATAATATATCACTCTGTAAAAATACATTACAAATAGTTTGACTTATTTCATATAATTCAAATTTTTTATTACCAAAAGTAATGTATTATAATTATAATACTAAGCTGATAATCTTTCAACATACAACACTATTGTCCAACGATAATAAAATATTTCATTGAACAAATATGGATTGTTTAAGTGGTTAATGTTTTTTTTATAATTCTTTTTATCTCTTAATTAGCTAACACCTAACTAAAAACATGAACTTGTTGAGAAATCCTTAAAAAATGAAATATTTACTATTTATAGTAAAATTAATATTAGAAATTTACAATCAAATTCAAATTGAATAGTTTGAATGTATCAATTGGGATGTTTTTACTTTTTAAAAATATTTAAAAATGTTGTGGAAATATAATGATTATAGTTGGTGTATAATGGATTTATTTTCAGTTTTGAAAGACCATTGATGCAAAACAGAATTAATCATTATGAGCTTACACACCATAATAAAAGGGGAAGTAGCCCCTCTCTCAATCAAATACATAAATGGAACATTTCCCTTTTCCTGCTTAGTCATTAAAAATTAGCCTAAAATAATTAAAAGATAAACAGAATGTTTTATAATTAGTAACAAGCTTTTGGTATTTAAAATAATGTTATTCAAATAATTCAAATAATCAGACCATCGGATAATCTGTAAAGTTAATTCTTATTAAATTAAATTGTAAAATATTTGATATTTTAATGGTTATCTAAAAAAATATAGAAATAAGTCATATTGGATTATCAAAGTACAATATAGACAATATATTGATTGATAATTACAAGAGAACCTATTCTCCCATTGGTGACATTTTCAACAGAGAAGGAAATATATACTTTTTAGTACAAAAGATCGTAGCACCAGCATCTTCTAAGGCGGCAGGTGGGATTTTGGGCATGGTAACTACAATAGCTAGGTAAACAAATAAATAAATAATTATCTTAAAAAATCAACATTTCCCTTAAAGACAACTCTGATTTTAATAAAACGTTAGCTATATTTTTTTATTAAAACAAAACATATACCCAATTCAACACTATCAATAACCATAGGTAGGGGACCTTGTTCTGGAACCATAAGACCAAAAAAGACATGGAAATTAAAGATATACTTTGAACCCTAAAACAATTAGGACTCTTCCAGCATGTATAAACCACAGACTAGAGTGATCATAAATTTCCTTTCCAAAAACAGGGATACTATTTTTTAATTTTTTTAATTATTACTGATATCTATTTAATAAAATTATAAAATGTTTACTACAATTAATACGTTACTTAATTTTACTTTTATAATACTTATATATAAATTAATATTTAATAGTGAAACAAATAACATTTGAATGCTAGTTTTTATAAAACATATTATAATGAATTTATAATATATAATAATTGTTATAATTATTTATAATAATTGATGATTGAATGTTATAGGTCAATGCCTCAATAGTATCAATTGTATTATTAAAACAACGGACCATAGGTAATAAAATTTTGTTGAGTTTGTTAGTTGAAACTAGTATGAAACATAACTCACATAAATATTATGTATTTATGTAAGTATAGACATTAGACAATATAGTTATAAGATACAGTATAGCACATTCAACTATCTAAAAGGCTATAAGCCTATCGTATACAAAAACTATTTAGGTGTCTATATTAATTTATACACTCAAGTTTCAAATCAGTTAAATTTAACAAGGAAGTGTGTGAAATTAATAATAATAAAGAACAAAAAGGGTCAGATTGGATGTCACGAACTCACGAGGGCCCGTAAAACGTATTTATTTGTTATGCTATTCGTCAACAAAAAAATCGAATCAACAGTTTTATTTTAGTACAACAAAATAATGGATAAAAACAATGCAGTATGAAACAAAGTTTATAATAATATTATGCCGACCATCGATTTTTGGATGGTAAATAATTTCTAAAATGGTAAATTATAATATTAATAAGCACCATCACGAATCACGATTAAAGACATATAGGTATTTATATATCTTTAATGGAGGGCACCATAATAAAATTTTTATTTGTAAAAACAGATAACAATGAATGATGTACGAAATGTTAGAATCATAGACCTATAAAGAAATCTTATTATGTCTATGGTTAGAATAGTTTAATAATTGTGGCATGTGTATTGTGTTGGTAACACCATCAGCAGACGATGGCGAGGTGAAGGGTGACCACCATCCACTTTCCCGCCGTAGCGCTGCGATTATTGATAAAACTTAAAACTACTTCAAAACGCCGATTGACGACCAACTAGACTAGTAGACTGGGGATTACGATTTAGTCGAATTACGATTATATCAAACATACACACACTTCACACTTGAAATTGATAGTTTAACGACCAGTTTCTAAAACGTTCAAACAAAGATCAATGTATCAAAGTAATTAAAGAAAATTAATTTTTTATACCACATACCCAATTTAATTTAATTTGCTTATTAAATATTTGTTATAAATTGTTTTCAATTATTTAAATACATTTTCATTTCAACATGTTACTTAGATCCTCGCAAGGCATTACCAGATCAATAATAATGTGTGCACAACGTTACTCGACAATGTGGCCTACCAAAGCTTATGTGAACGGCGAATGGTGTGATGCAAAATCTGGAAAGACTTTCGACGTTGTCAATCCGGCTACAGGAAAGACTATCGCTACTGTACCAGATTTGGATGCTTCGGATGTTCAAGTGGCTATAAATGCTGCAAATGATGCATTCAACACATGGAAAAAGACTACGGCTAAAGAAAGAAGTGATCTATTGAGAAACTGGTATAATATTTTGGTTAAAAATAAAGATTATTTAGCAGACATTGTAACATCAGAGGCTGGAAAACCATTAGCGGAATCATTGGGTGAAGTAGCTTACGGAAATTCATTTGTTGAATGGTTTTCGGAAGAAGCTCGACGAACTTATGGGGAACATGTTCCTAGTCCAAATAAAACCAAAGAAATTTTAATGATTCGTCAACCACTAGGACCAGTAGGTCTTATTACACCATGGAACTTCCCAATTGCCATGATAACTAGAAAAGCTGGAGCTGCTTTGGCAGCAGGATGTACATGTGTCATTAAACCGGCAGAAAATACTCCAATCACAGCATTAGTTTTAGCAAAGTTTGCTGAAGACGCCGGCATTCCCAAAGGTGTAATTAACATTGTAACTACATCAAGAGAAAATACTCCAGAAATTGGTAAACTGTTATGTGAAAGTCCAGACATTTACGGTATATCATTTACTGGATCTACTGAGGTTGGAAAATTACTGTACAAACAATGCAGCAGCACAGTGAAACGTGTTGGTTTAGAATTGGGAGGAAATGCGCCATTTGTAGTGTTCAATGAAGCAGACATCGACAAAGCAGTAGCTGGAGCAATGGCTTCAAAGTTTAGAAACTGTGGGCAGACATGTGTAAGTGCTAATAGATTTATTATTCAAAAAAATGTATTCACAGAATTTGTTGATAAATTAAAAGTAGAAATGGATAAATTAGTCATGGGTGATGGTAAGACTTGTGGTGTGAACTTAGGACCATTGATCAATTTTGCTCAGGCAGATAAGGTAGATAGAATAGTAAATGATGCTAAGAATAAAGGAGCAACAATCATAACTGGTGGAAAACGGGCATTAAGTGTTGGTGAACGATTCTATGAACCAACATTAATTACAAATGTTACCAAAGACATGGCCTGTTACGTGGAAGAGATTTTTGGACCTGTTGCAGTATGTATTGAGTTTGATACAGAACAAGAAGGATTGGAGATTGCAAATAGTACAAACAGAGGGTTAGCTGGTTACTTTTACTCAAATGATTTGTCTCAAGTTTGGAGAGTAGCAAAGGCTCTAGAAGTTGGAATGGTTGGTGTTAATGAAGGTATAATATCAGCCACAGAAGCAGCATTCGGAGGTGTCAAAGAATCTGGTCTCGGAAGAGAAGGTTCTCGCCATGGTATGGACGAATATACAGAAATAAAATATATTTGTTTTGGAAACCTAGAATACTAATTAGTAGTTTATTATTATCATATATTATGATTTATAATATTTATTATATTTTAATATTGTAAGTGAAATAGGTACTGAATATTAATGTCTTCCATTAAAATAAACTTGTCTTCCAAAAGTAATTTATTGTTAAGTTGTTAAAATTGTTTAATATATATTAATTATAAATAATTCAGATTATCATTGTCTCGGCTTATTTTTCAAAATATTGTTAATAATAATTATAAATTGAGTTAAGAGGACGACTCAACCGGATGTGTTGTCTCTGTTTTACACACATACGACATAGCAAATTTTCGTTTGCTGGTTTCAATAGGGTATTGTCAGTTTTGATATTAGAGTGAATCGACCTATTATCAAACTTTTAGGTAACAACAGTATCTGTGTTCTCTCGTTGGTTTTTTATGATATTTTAATTTTTAAGTGAGTTATGGGTATGTAAAGTATTCATATTTTAAAATGTTCATAACTCACTTAAAAATTAAAATATCGTAAAAAACCAACGAGAGAACACAGATACTGTTGTTACCTAAAAGTTTGATAGTAGGTCGATTCACTCTAATATCAAAACTGACAATACCCTATTGAAACTAGCCAACGAACATTTGCTATGTCGTATGTGTGTAATACAGAGACAACACATGTGGGTGCGACGTCCTCTTAATAGTATTTGAAAAAAGCTAGGTAATTACTAGTTATGTGTAGTAACTTTACAACATTTTTAATACCAAGCATGTGTTTAAAAAAGCAACAAGCTCTACTTACTAGTTGACAGCGGTTATAGATAATATTACACATTTTATTGTTTTTTGTTTAAGTGTCTAGAACAGGTGCAGTGTTTAAGGGGAGAATAAGGGGTCATGATCCCCTCCTAGACATTATTATAACTACCTATAAATAGTATCTTTTTTTCAGAAATCTGTAAAGATGCTTAGAGTATTTATAAATTATAATCACTGCCTCCACATTTTATTATTGGATACATGTTTTTCCCTCTGTATAGACCTAAGTTAGTAAATAGTTAAAAGTAGAATTTTTGCACCAAAAGGATATCCCCCCCCCCAGACTAATCAAATCCGCTGCTGACTCAGAGTACAGTGATTCAATAATGCCTATATACCTAATATAATATATTCTTATTAAGTACCAAGTCCGGAATCATATAATAAACAATTAGCTGTAGTTATAAAGTACAGATCACATTTTATAGTTTATACTTTACAAAATTTACATTTCCAGACTAAATTAAGTTATATACATAGGTACTAAAAATAAATTAGGTAATGTAATGATTTAGAGTTTTTAAATAACTATCGTTTACTCGTAAGTTTATTCATTGCTGGACAATAAAATTAAATCTTTTAAAATATTAGCTAATCCATTAACATTTTTACAAGTTATACAATGTTTAATGGATCACAAACTAATAAGAATTAGGTACCCATGTAATAATAATTTGTACGTACAATTTATAATTACCTAGTAAATATTTGTATCTGTTAAGACTAAGTTAAAACGATAAGCAAGAAACAAAATTAATTAATACTTCACAATATTGTTCAAACAATGAAATCAATCTACCAAACAGAGTAGTTTTCAATATTTATGTATGAACAAACTACAAAATAGTACAGAAAGAACTATTCATAACCCGCGTCTGAACGTGTTGCATAACTTAGGTATAAATTAAAGTAATTAATAATATTATGTTGAACCATAATACCATACCTCGAGGCTCGAATTGAATGGATTGATGACTGTTGTGAATGTACTCTACGGTCTATTACTTCATATTAACGGTTCTCAGCGACTGGTAAGTAAATTAAAAACGAAACTGTCAAAAATTCGAAACTAGTAATAATTACGAGTCTACTAACTAAAGATGGTAATATTGTGATTCGGTAGTTTTGAACGGTTTTGGACTTTGTTGTTATCACTTTTGAAACGATTTGTAATCTGTTCGTTTAGGTTAAGTTTCGTAAAATAAAAAATAAAAGCAAATTCAAAAATGCCGATCGACACGACGTTACGTCACAACGACTGAATATCAATTTTTCAGCGTCCGTCGTAGGACCTACCGCATCGTTGTAACGTAACGACGTAACATGATATTTTATTATTTAATCAACTTTACGTCGTGATTAAAATTGTCATACACTTGGACGAAATATTTTACTCCATGATGGTGGGTATTACTAATTGTATAATATATTAAAACTAGCTCTAAGTATAACTCGGGGTCCGTTGGAATCGCTGAGAGTGGGTACCGATTTTGGAGACAATGAATTATAAAAGTCGCAAAGGTTGTAACTTGTAAGACGAAAGTTTAGGATTTGTGATAAGGATTAGTGATATGGATTGGAGATAAGGCTAGACGCTTTGGCGGGAATGTTAAAAGTTTGAGTGTCTAGCAATCCGTCACAAACGTTGTAAATGGATAGGCTGGATACGATCTCCAGGATCACCTATATAGAGTATACCTACACATAGAGTGGTATGTGCCGTAGCATGAACGGTGCTTTATCTTATGTAAAAAGTATAAAGTCGAAAACCGTGTTGGAGTTTCTAGCAAGTCAGTCATCTCAAGTCAAAATATATTAACTTTCAAGTTAGCCACTTAGGTAGGCAATCCGACTTCGTCGGATCGCGGACTATGTGCTACAGCAAATCAGGTAGGCAATCCACCGCAGGTGGATTGCAGACACGACATCAAGCGGCTATAAGTGAAAACCCTATCACACAACTTATGAAATAATTTACGAAAAATTCAAACTATATATACATACAAACAAATATGATATGTATTTATTGTGTGATATAATATAACAATGAACATTTTGAGAAATGTGCAATTATAATTCCTAAAAAATATTAACATATAGGTAGATAGTTAGATACATACTATTATATAAACCAATACATATAAACATGTACCTATAGTGTATATATATTAATTTAAAAAAAAATTGCAAAAACCTGCATGTTATTTGTTAAAGTGTCTATCAAGTCAATCATCACCGTTTAAGACGAAACTAAAATGAGCAATCCGTCTATCACCTATATATAGTAGGTATATCACATAGAGTGGTATGTGCCTTCGCATGTCCGGTGCCTTTTCTTATGTAAAAAGTGTAAAGTCAAAAACCGTGTTGGAGTGTCTAGCAAGTCAGTCATCTCAACTCTCAAGTCAAAATCAAGATTAACTTTCAAGGCAAACCGAAATAAAATACAAACTATATTTATATAACAATCATGGAAATTTTAAAAAATATGCAATTTTAATAATTCCTAATAAAACAAATATAATATGTACCTATTTATTGTGTGATATAAAATGATAATGACTTTAAATAATAATAATGTACGATATGTTCCTGTATTATTATATTATTATTTAATTTATATGAAAAATAACGTGAAAAAAAATGCAAAAAAAATCGTGATTTGGGCGGCCGTGTAAACCATATGGCATTGACGGTTTCAATGCCTGGACGGCGTACGACGGATTTGAACCCGGGACCTACGTGTTTCCTGCCTAACGCCTAACCTACTCGGACACAGTTTGAGATATGAAAGACAGTGAAAACATCAACAATTAAGCCGTGCGACTACGGAGCGACGTAAACCGATATTTCCGATGTACATCGATGTAATCGCATATAATTCGCTTGTAATACGCGCATCTCCCATATATATATTTAACGGGGCGTGTGAAAAGCGTTTTCCGTTAATAATTATTAAATCATAAGGAAAAATTAAATTATACACCTATATACATGTATATATACGCGTACGGCTGGTCGGTCGCCGGCGTAATTTCCAAACGCGATTGCGAGGCGAACGAACCGATTTTGGGGGAAAAGCGCATATAAACGGCTTCAAAAAGACTCGATTCGGACACAAACGGGTGCGAATAGACGAAACGGTGGGAGAAAAGGAAAAAATCGGCAAAAAAGTCCGGTCGGGAGTGTATTTATTGATCGACATTGCACGAATATAAACCGCACACCGGTGGCTTCGAATTAAGTATATAAAAGGGCGAAAAGCTAATTTTCCGAAAATCGGCGAAATGATAGGAAAAGAGGTGATAACGAAAAACGTTTTAAAACCGACCGCCGCCACTGCGAAGGTACGCGATTGGTCGCGCTATAAGGAATCGACGGGACATGGCCGGCGGGCTGGGGAAACGGAGCAGTGCTTCATTTTTTACGCCAAGGGTTCGCTATAGCCGGCGTTTTCCTTTCCATTGGACCCCAATATTATCAGTCAGCTGTTCTTCATTTTATAGTATTAGACTAGCCCTCCGTTCTAGCCGGGGGAGACCCCCGGACCCCCCAGTGTTTGTTTGTAAGTGAGTACCGATTTCGGAGACAATGTCGTTGGAATTATAAAAATCACAAGGGTTGTAAGTCAAAAGTTTAGGATTAGTGATATGGATTGGAGATAAGGCTTGGCGCATTGGCAGGAATATTTAAAAGTTTGATCGTCTAGCAATCCGTCACAAACATTGTAAATAGATACGATCTCCAGGATCTCTAGTCAATTGCTTTTGGTTGTTGAAATTATTAAAAATTGTAGTATCGATATGTGTATTTGATTGTCTAGCTATCAGTCATCAAATCACATAGGTAGGTAATCCGACTGCGTCAGATCGCGGACAATATGTGAAGCGTATATTACCAGGTATGCAATCCACCTGCGATTGGTGTAATACAGTAGCGTATCTAGGATTTTTTCAAGGGGGGGGATATAAAAATTTTGTAATGTGTAAAAATAATAATAATAATTAGTAGGTATCATAATCTAGTATAGTTTAATTTCTAAAATCTAAAACTACCTAATACAAACTCTAAAAACAACAACCGATTGGAACTTTTATTAATTATCATTGATCACGGACTTCAGTAAACTTACAACAGTCGTGTATGATTCAACTATTCTGGGTATTGTGTTAATATTTAAGTTGAGTACCTTATTCTACCTAAATTAAAATGTATTTT